AGACTGGAGAAACCCTAAGAGTATGGCCTCCAGCCACCTTTTTAACTCAGTACTGAAGTCACTCCTGAGGCTCACCCTTCAGCCAAATATTAGACAGGCCTATTAAACAAATAATAACACAAGAAGTGCAACCATGTATATGAGACTGAATGGGCACACCAGCCCAGGGGCAAGGACGAGAAGGCAGGAAGGAACAGGAAAGCTGAATAAATGGAAATGGGGAACCCAAGGTCGAGAAGGGGAGAGTGTTGACACATCGCGGGGTTGGTGGCCAGTGCCACAAAACAGTATGGGTATTAATTGTTTAATGAGAAACTAATTTACTCTGTAAACTTTCACAAAGCCACAATAAAATCTAAAAAAAAAAAAAAGAAACTAAGCCACTGTTAAATAACCTGGCTACGATGTCACTGAATCAGCGACTCTGCTGAGACTAGATTCGGATCTTCCAGAGTTCTTTCTGTTGGTCTTGAAATAAATTGTCAAAAATCAGTGACTCTGAGATACCAACCCATTGCGTTGGCCACAGTTTCTATCAGAAACAATGTAAGTTAACAATGTAGAAATTGACATTTCTGTAGCTCTGTAGATTGGGAAATGTATTTCTAAAAGCCATGCCCCCCGCCGCCCCCCAAAAAACCTGTTGCCGTTGAGTCGATTCCAACTCATAGCAACCCTATAGGACAGAGTAGAGCTGGTTCATAGAGTTTCCAAGGAGCACCAGGTGGATTAGAACTGCTGACCTTTTGGTTAGTAGCCGTAGCTACTATTATGCCATCAGGGTCAACCTGCCCTCTCTGATGGAAGTGCTGTTTAGCAACAGGGCTTAGAAAAGAGTAGTGAGAGGTGAGTAATAACAAAGTAGATAATTCTTAAAGGAATAGCTCCTTCACCTTCAAGAATTTCTTTTACAGATAATCCCTGTTCTGCTTATTTGTCTTTTCACTAAAATGTAAAAATAAATTTTCATAATATTTGTCAATTACACATGTTCAACTTATGTATTCAGTTATTCATTTCCTCAGCAGCATCCAGCAGATAATTTGTTAAGTACCTTTTATGTAGCAAATGATAGGGATAGAGTGGAAAAGAATGATCATACAAATAAATACTTGTAAGCAGTTAAATGCTGTGTACAAAAAGTACAAAGTAATTTATGATCATATAACAGTGTCAGGGAAATTAAATTTTTAGTTGAGAAATGAAGTATGAATAAATAGGCAAAGCTGAAACCTATTTAATAAAGGTGAGGGTGGAGGAAAGGGTCTCACACTGATGGAACAGCCTGAGGAATGACAGAGAACTAAAGAACAGCTAGTGTGTATGGAGCAGGGAAAGCAACTATAGGTCTTGGTCACAAGAAGAGAAATGAAGAAATTTACTAGGCGTCACCAAAGGAACCAGACAGCAGAAGGAGAAGTAAACTTCTCCCCAAAGTAAACTACATATTCAGTGTTAAAATTGTGTTGTTTTAAAGATCTTTGTAAAGAAAATTACTTTAGAAACACCACGATGTTTTTTCTGTTTACTAGGTATCATGTATATATAAGGTCGTCATGAGTTGGAGCTGACTGTACAGCAAATAACAACACTACCGCAGTGTAATCCTAGGATTTGGGCATTTTAAATATATATTCATTTCATTTGATTTTTTTCTTTTTTTCTATGCTGACTCAATGCAAATTTCAGGAATATTTTGATGTGCTGGAGTGTTTAGATCAAGGACTTTCGCTGTTGATCAGTTGAGCAGTCATGGAAATGACAGAATCTTATCCTATGTTCTTGGCCGGGGTTTTTATGTGGGTGTGTGAGGTGCAGCTGCGCTGTGGGTTTCTTGGCATTCACGACAGGGCAATTCTCAGTGCAGTTCGTCTTGAATAGGAAGAAACTTAAGCCTAAAAAGACTACTCTGAATGTATTAGATTCAGTGGAAAGCACCCAGAGCCCGAACTACTGGCTGATAGCCTAAGTTATTTGGCTACATAGATACAGCCTCAGGCACATGCCCAGGCTTGTGGCAGGAACACATGAAGGAGAGAACATATAAATCAATAGTCAGAGCTTTGTCTCAATATAAAATTATAAATTACCATATGTAATTTTTAAATGAAGTTTTCGTTAGCCAGTTGTTTATTTAATTAAGCTAATTTATTTAAGCTTTTTCAATAAAGAGCACTTAATGAAAAAGGCAGATTGCCAAGAACTAGCTGTGCTTGGCAAATGCGAATTCATAATTTTATGTAGTTTATCAGAAAGATCTTTTCTCAGATTAATTTATACACAGATGGATTCCCAGATCTGCTTTTATTGCTCGCTTGTTTTCTTCACTCTCCTCTGACCAGTTCTGTGGTCTAGAAGCACTTTGTTTTCCCAAGCCCTCAGATTAAGTGCAGACAGTCTGGAACTCTTCATTTTCCAAGCACACTTTCTTTCTTACCTTTGGATAAATTCGTCATTGTCCCTCATATTCTTTACACAGAAGCCTCTGAGTTGCTTTCAATGTTTAACTACTTTTTCACATCTTTACTGTTACTTAATTAATATTATTGCTCTTCCGGCAGCATAGAGTCAGATCCTGTGGTCAGTTTACCTTGGTTCAAATCTACCACTGCTACTTACCATCTTGGTCTCATTAATTTCTCAGTTTTTCATCTTAAACTTGGGTAATCATCATGTTCGCACCTCATTTTTCTTTTCTTAATAAGGCTTAAAGGAGAAAATGCATGTGAAGTGCTTAATTCAGAATAAATGTCCAAGAAAGGAGATGTTAGCTATCATTTTCTTTTTGAATCAGGCCTAGTCTCTTAGATAGCTATCTGTTAATAGCTATCTTCATTCTTCTGGGTGATCTCATTCAATCTAAAAACCATCTGTATGCTGATGACCCCTAAAATTATGTCTCTAGCCTTGGCCTCACTCCCCTAAGCTTCAGACTCATATATTGGACTAATAATAAAATGAAGTATAGACATGATAATTATCCACATTTGGGGATGAGAAACTGTGAGATTAATGGGACCAAGATTGTAAGTAGCAGCAGTAGATTTGAACTAAGGGGAAGTTTACATCTCCCCTTAAATGTCTAATACCTACCTCAAACATAATGTGTCTAAAAACAGAACTTTTGATCTCTGTCACCCACATCTACTCGCCTCTCCAATCCTCATTCTTTTCTTTCTCAGTTAATGGCGCCACCTTCTATTCCGTTTGTTTTTTCCTAGCTACAAACTCATCCATTTCATCAGCACATCTTATCACCGTTATCCTCAGAATATGTCCTGAATATATCCACTTGTTACCATCTTCTCTACTACCACCCAAGCCAATAGCCACTTTTGCCTGGACAGTTCTGTAAGGAATGGCCTCCTTATTGATCTCTCTGTTTCCAGTCTTGTCCCCTAAAATCCTTTCACCACATGTTGCTGTGTGCCATCAAGTCAGTTTCAACCCATAGCGACCCCGTGTGATAGAGTAGAATTTCCTTCTAGGGTTTTCTTGGCTGTAATCTTTATGGAAGCAGATCACCATGTCTTTCTTCTGCAGAGCTTCTGGGTGAGTTCAAACCACCAATCTTTTGGTTAGCTTAACTGTTGCACCACTGGGTCTCCTTATTTGCCATATAGAAGAATGATGTTTTGAAAACAGATTATTTTATTCTTGTTCTTCTTACTGAAATTAGAAAAATATCCATCATTCTTAAAAGTCATCCGTGACCTGGCCCCTCTCTGACTACTTTCTTCCAATCTCTGAAACACAGCAAGTTTACTTCGTATCTTAAGACTTTACAACACTAGCTTTTCCCTCTATTGTGGATATTTTTCTCTCAGATCTTCATAATATTGGCACCTTGCATTTTTGGGGTCTCAGTTAAGTTGTCCACTTCTCAGAAGGGCTTACCTTGACATCTCCTCTTTCTTAATAGCAGATGGCTATGTGAAACTTCCATGCCTTTTCTTCCTTTCGTAAGCTGCCTCTTCCCACCCCCAAAAGAATTGAAGTTCTGTAAAGCAAGGACTTTGTATATCTTGTTCACTGCCATATTCCCAGTGCTTGGAGTAAAACTTGACACTTAACACTATTATTTGGTTGGACAGATGGATGAAAGAATGAATAAAATATGTCTTCTACACCCAGGAAAACAATGGATTATTTCATCCTCTACAAACTTTGTATAGATGTTTATTTAGAATTAACTGTGTTAGTATTTTGTCCTTTTTTCTCTTTTATCTGTCTTCCCTGTTGTAGATTGTAAGCCCCTAAGGGAAGGAAAAATCTCTCTTCATAGAATGCTAGATATCATTTTGGTACTTGGTGTTTTCTGAATTGAAAATTTAATCTAACATATGTGTTTCCCCTGAAGTTATAATAATTATATGTATTTTTTTTTTTGGTTCTGTAAAGCACGTGTGTTTGAAGTATGCCTTCCTCTTTCATCTTTCGCAGTTCATAATTGGACCCTTGAGGACACCCTTCAGTGGTTGATAGAATTTGTTGAACTACCCCAATATGAGAAGAATTTTAGAGATAATAATGTGAAAGGAACAACACTTCCTAGGTGAGTCTTTAAGTGATTAACCAAATGTATTTTTCCACTAATGGAGAATTATATATTAGATGTCTCTCTTCAGTGATGACTCTGCAAGTTTACTTTGATGACTGAAGGCTCAAAGGAAATATATAAATATGTACATTCTTTACTTTTTTTTTTAAGGTATGAATTTTCAATTTTTAATATGTTTTTCTTGTCTAAGTAATCAGTCCACTCCCCGTTTTTTATTCTTAAGGAAAGTAATTTGAGAGTTACAAGGTGGGCTGAGTACATCTTTTTAAGATAATATCAAGGGGTCAACCTCTGACCACCTGGTAGCTATAACATAGCCTATTCATTTGATACTGATTCACCTTCATGAAAAGACCTGTTTGAATGGATTAATGTACAGATCTGTCTTAATTAGTATTCTTTTAGTAACAACTGTAACTACTTAAAAAGAATAGTGACCATAAGTTATACCTCAATTAAAAAATGAAGTTTAATGAACAAAAAATAAATAGTAACAACCATTTTAAAGTATATGTTACATACCTGTTGCTGTCATATAGAGATACATTGTCTCATTTAAGCCTCATGATTAAAATGAGGTATGTATTGCAGTCCCCATTTTACAGATGAAAAAATAAATCAGAGAGAAGTTAAATGTTTTGTCTAAGGCAGCACTGAACCCGGATAGACTTGATACCAAAGTCAGAATGACAGTTCTTTCCTTAGATGTTTGTAATCAATTTTTGCTGATTTGTAAATTATATTTTCTAAATAGCTATGAGTTGACCTCATAATTTTACAGATTTAAATGTTAAAACTTACAGTAATTCCACTTGAACTTTTCCTTTACAAGATTGCTTATGTTTCATTGCTCCTTGGATGGTTTCCTGAATTAGAAAAGACTCTAATCAGTTACTGTGTAATGATTATAATTGGTAAAACGTACGTATTATATCCCTAATCAACTTGCTTACATACACTGTTTAAATAAATGCCTTTGTTGCTTTGAGGTTTGTATTTTGGATTAAGTTGAAAGTTTCCGTATTTCCCTTAAACATATTCTAAACTTCCACATTAATATTTCTGATTTTACTATATGCGTATTTGAATAATGAAATTGAGGTAAGAGTCAATTCAACAAGTGCTTATCTTATTGAGTATAGTTTGTGTTCATGATGCAGCTAGATGTGGGAGAGAAGACAAAAAGTAAATAAGATAAGGAGTCCCAGTGTGATGCAAACAGTTAAGCACTTGGCTACCAACTGAAAGGTTCATGGTTTGAACCCATGCAGAGGCTCCTCAGAAGAAAGGCCTGGTGATCTACTTCTGAAAAATTATAGCCATGAAAACACTGTGGAGCACATTTCTACTCTGAAACACATGGGGTTGCCATGAGTCAATGGCACCTGGTATGCATAGACACTCTAGATACTCCTGTCCACAACAATAACAAAAGTGTTTGAAATGGGAATGAAGAAATTTAATGAACAATAAACGAATAAAGAATATATGTCAGAAAATTAGGAAAAAAATATGTGAGATACAGTTCTTGCTTTTAAATAAGACAAGTTTCTAAATTAAAACAAAACAGGGCAGAGCTTTAAAATAGGATTAGTTATACTTGAGAAAATAGTATTTTTTTATATTACTTTTTGGAAGTTTCTTTATATAACAACAATGTGAAATAAAATAGTTTGCCCTGTGTCTTGGAAATAAAAAGTATAGTCACTTTTTTGATTAAGTAAAAGTCATGAGTGATGCCACATATTGGGCAGAATTGTTTAGATAACATCATAAATTTATCGAGATTAATTTTTTAGTAGTGAACATTTTTTTTATAGGAAAAAAACATAAATGTAGAAGTTCAGTTCTCAGGTCAGCTCACTGGAGCTTTTTTGAGTGGAGGAGAAGTGAAAACAGGAAGACCCTTTCTCCACCTTCTTTTATAGGGTAATGGCAAGTAGATGAGTCAATTTAAAGGGTTAATATCAATTAACTTAAACTACTGTGTAAGAGAAAGAGCTTTCTGTAAGGTAACTGTAGAAGTAAAGGCTATTTATTGGAATGTACAAGAAGCTATTAAGTTCCAGACAGTTGACCTACAGCAGCCCATTATTATGTTTCCTTTCTTTGATATTAAAACATTTTTTACATTTGTTACAGGTAGCCAAAGTTATGTTAGTTATTGATAGTGGTTTTCTTATGCCTAATGGACCCCCCTTGATGAAGTGGTTAAGTTCTTGGCTGCTGACGGAAAGGTTGGCAGTTCAAACCCACCAGCCACTCTGAGGGAGAAAGATGTGGCGGTCTGCTTCCCTAAAGATTACAGCCTCAGGAACCCTATGGGGCAGTTCTAACTTGTCCTATAGGATCACTATGAGTCAGAATTGACTCGACAGCAACAAGTTTATCTTAAGCCTTTTACTGTGTTTTCAGCACTCTAATTCTTAGTACCAGAGCTTATACTAAGGATTTCTTCACCTGACACATGCCTCCTCATTCCTTTCAGACTTGTGTGACCTTCCCTGACATTCTCACCCACTCAGGTAGAATCACTTCCACCTCTGGGCTCATAATGCACCTTGCATGAAATTCTGTTATATAGTTTCCTTTTCACTACATCTCATTATTATCTTTCTTAAATTTAGTCTATTGATAATGTTGCTATTAATTAGTTTATGCATCTCTCCATGCATTCCTTCATCTATTATGCAAACACTTATCAAACATCTACTTTTGCCAAGCACCATGCTGGGCTTTGGGAATACAGAGGTAAGACATAGTTTCTGCCTTCAAGCAGTTAGGTAAGTGTCATGTTAAAACATACAGGAAGAGTACCAGTGGAGAAGATGAAGGAAGGCATTTTGTAAAGGGAGAGTTAGAGTTCTTCTTTATCTGCTAAAGTTTTATAGAAGCCTCATAGGAATTTCTGTAATGTCTTCATGTTCTCAGGTACTGATATCTTCCCAAATAAAATGTAGTGGTTCAGAGTACAGTATTTGGAGTCATTTGGGTTTCAGTTTCTGCCTTACTGCTTACTAATAATGTAAACTTAGCCAAGTTGCTTAACCTCGCAGAACCTTAGTTTTCTCATCTGTAAAATGGAGATATTACAATTAAGCCCATGGCACAGGGCCCGGCACATAGCACATGCTTGTTTTTAATATAATTGTTATTAACAGTTGTATTAATTATTAGACTTTGTGTTATATGGCATCATACTTAGTTCTTAAGAAATCTTAGTTGAGTACTGGGTAACTTGAATTTGCAGTCCAAAGTGATTTAGTTTCCTTATTTCACCTGTGCCTTTTGCCCTGTTCCACATGCTTTCTTCATTCCTAATAAAATAGGTCAGTACTTTTTATTACATTAATCCCTAAATCTACCCCATGATGATGTCTTACTTCCCACTTAGGACTTCCGTGTGCTTTGTTTAATTTTTAAATAGTTTAAATATTAGAATGTAAAGGTATAGATTTTTTTAGATACTTTTAAAGAAAAACGACATTATCTAAATTGAGAATTTTTTTTTTTATATCTGCTATTTATGTTGGGTAAGTTACTTATAATTTTATTGTTCTTTGTGAAGGAATGGTAAAATGCCAGAGACAGGTAATGATTATAAAGTATTTTGAAATAAATTCTAAATCATAAAAAGTTATAACAGAAAGCAACCTTAGGAAACAAAAATTTAACAATGTAGCAACTAAGCTATTAACATACAAGCATCTTTCTATAGCTAAGTTTGCACTGAAAAGGTTTTTGATACATGTAATAAAATATTAAATCATGTGCTGATGAACTCTTACAATAATCATCACAATAATGTAAAGTATTAAATATGTTGATCAAATATTTAAATTTATATGCTACAGATATTTTCATTTAATATACATGTATTTCTTAAATGAACAGGATAGCAGTGCACGAGCCATCATTTATGATCTCTCAGTTGAAAATCAGTGACCGGAGTCACAGACAAAAACTTCAGCTCAAGGCACTGGATGTGGTTTTATTTGGACCTCTAACACGTTAGTATTCTTTCTTACTCAGAATATGATGCAAAAGAATTATCAGATCATCTATGTGTTATTTAAAGAAGGAAAAAGTAAGAAAGATAGTAGACCACTAAGAAAAATCTTGTTAGCTGTGAAAGAAATGTAATAACATCTTAAAATGAAAGATTTTTAGGGTGAGATGTTATGTTATTGAAACATGGAGCGTGAAATTTTCAAAGCTGGTAACTTAAGTAAAAAAACTCTTAAAAATGATAATTAGTTGATAATTCAGAATTAAATTTCTCAATTTAAGACTTGAGATTTTTATAGCACTTTAAGTGTTGATGTTTTTATAGTTGGATATTTACTGAAGAATCCCTTTAAAAATTGGTGCAATCTAACTATCTTAATGACAAAGTAATAGATCCTAATTGGATTTCATTATCACCAAGAAAAGGATTTTTTTTTTTTAGACGTAGATGGAAAGCAAAGACCCTCTTGAAAAATTTTAGAAAGTAATAGACTTCCCTGGCAGAAGCAGAAGGTGGAGAACGTTATTTGATTGTTCTTCAGATTGTTTGGAGGAGGATCATTTAAGAAAGTGTTATGTCATATTTGTAAAGAAAATAAGCTTTGTGTTTCTTTACTTTGGCAGGAATATTTTTTTCCCAGAAGGGAAGCTTAATATATTTATTTTATTTCAAATTTCAGAAAGCTTTGGGGGAGTGTTTGAAGAATCCATGTTTTAGATAGAATTATATTTTATTTTTCAGAAGCCATAAAGGAATAAAAGCAATTAATACTAGAAAAGTGGCTCTCAAAAGTTATAAATTAGGAAACTAATGTTTATTCTACCTGAATTCTTGGAGTTAGGAGACTTCTGGTCTCTATCATAAAATCTTGAAGGTGGCCCTGCTAAAAAAGGGTTACTGGAGTGATAGGATAGGGTCCATGACTTCACTGGTGGTTCTTTTTCGGCCCAGGCTAAAAGAGCAGCTGGTGAAATGGCTGGAACTCCCCTTTGTAAGGGTTGGTGGAAATGCACTGTTGGTGGAAATTACAAAGCCTAGGTAATAGAACACTACGTAAATGCTGAGCGTTACGCAGATATGATCCCTTTTCTAACCTTTTCCTTGTCCTAAGTTTTTGACTGAACCCATTGGTGGATTCTCTTTTGTGAGATTCTTATTTTTTTCATGTGAAAAAATGAAAGTAGGGATTAAAGTATAAAATTTGTCTCTATTTACAGCTTGGTCAGGAATATCTATATTTTATTATCTGAGAGGGGAAAAGCACTTTATAAGCAACAAAAAAATTATACAGTGAAACCTGTGATAGCCAGAACATGATGAGACTACCTTGTTTTTCAGAGGCTCACAAGTTTTCCACCTTTGACAGGGTGGATGGAGTCTTACCACTTTTCTGTTGCTCTTTATTAGTGGAAAATATTTGAGTTTTCCTTCTCTGACAGATTCCCACCTTACACAGGTTCCAGCTTTTGCAGGTTTTACTGTATTATCAAGTCATTGGAAGAGAAACTGGCCTCAAAGAATGTTGAAAACAAATGTTTTAATAAACAAACCAGTTAAGAAGTTAATGAGGCATTACCTTTTTAATGTGTTTGTCATAGAATTGTTTGAGTGACTGAGTCCCACAGTTGGAACACCCACTTTAGTTTAATAAAAAACTAGTATTGTGAAATGAACAGAGATATTTTTAAGTTTTTACTTAAATCCGTTCTAGTTTGTGGTACTTATTATAGAGTTTGGATCTTGCTCATCCTTTTTGTTGTTATTTCTGATAACTTAATATTTCAGCCAGAGACAGAGAATAGGGCTCGTATTTGAACTAGAGCCTGAGCTAAACCTCTCAGCGTGAGGCAGAAATAAAAACAAAACCTGAGAGGCTTTAGCTTACCCCAGTGGATCTCTCCCACTGTAGGTGAGGGCGTGCACTCTAGAAATGTGGAACACTGAGGGTTTCTGGCATGGAGCATGTGATTTATTGCACTATGCAGGCATAGATGTGTAACCCTAGACTTGTAAGCATAGAAACTTGTTTCTATAGAGCTCTTCATCTCATCAAACATGCAAAATGTCTTTCTTGTAGAGGCCTGGGCATTTAGGCAATTTTTCACTCTAAAATATTTATTTTTGTAGCACTAAAATAGTGTACTATGTTGTGTTGGTTAACATTGTGTCTCCCATCCATAGATCCCCCTGAAAATGAGCATGTCTTGACAACCACGGATAAATAAGAAAATTTTTTGAATAGTAGATTTCTGTGTTTTATGTCACTGAAGCCTGTACGTCCTGGCTCCTTAGCTTAGAAACAATGCTGGGGGTTAGCAACATGCCTGGAATGGTGGGAAAGGAGCCCCTGCTGTTTCCCTCAGTAACCCAGAGATCTCTAGCAAATAACCACACAGAACATAATACATTATGACCATTTAACCCAAGGTTTCTTAACCTCGGCACTGTTCATGTTTTGGGTTGGATAATTCTTTGTTAGGAGGGGTAGTGGTGGTGGTACAGTTGTCCTCTGCATTGTAGGATGTTTAGCAACATCCCTCACCTCTACCCACTAGATGCCAGTACCACCTCCCTTCTCCCAGTTGTGACAACAAAAAGTTGTCAGAAATCTACTGGGGGAGAAATTGCCCCCAGTTGAGAACCACTGATTGACCTAATTGGTTACATAGCTGCATGCTTGTGAAAAATGTGAATGATTGGGCTTTTAAAAGCATGGCAGCTGCCTTACTTGACTGAAGGAAAGGAGTTGGAATGATAATGGTATACTTTTTTATGACTCCCTTCACCCCACAGAGGACCATGTAATTGGAGATGCTCTTGCTTTTTCAAGGGTCCCCAGTACTTTGGTTATTACTTCCTCTGCCACTAGCTGAGACATGGTGTATCCTTGTGGGTTTATCTCTGCCCTCCTACAAGCCTAGTATATCAAATAGTTATAATATGCACATTGATTATTTGAAGAAATTATTTTTAAAAAGCTAGAGCTTATGTATTGGGAGGAAGATCTTCACAGGTTTTGTTTTTGTTTTTAGATATCTGTTACTAAAAAAAAAAAAAGCCTCTGTGAACTGAGGTTCAGTTGTTCCATTAATTTAAGGATTAATTTAATCATCTGTAATTCTCTTTGTAGGCCCACCTCATAACTGGATGAAGGATTTTATCCTCACAGTTTCTATAGTAATTGGTGTTGGAGGGTGCTGGTTTGCTTATACGCAGAATAAGACATCAAAAGAACATGTTGCAAAAATGATGAAAGACTTAGAGAGTCTACAAACTGCAGAGCAAAGTCTAATGGACTTACAAGAGAGGTGAGTCAAAATAGCTGTAACTTTTGCTATTTATGTAGGAAAACACAATTCATAAAAATGTAATATGGGCATGTACTTACACATTTATATTTAGGTTAGCACACGTAGCAGGAATGTTTGCCCATTTCGTTTCATATTTTTAGAAAAGTATCAGTAGAAATAATCTAATATAGGTGGAATTGTATGTGTAGTTAAATTTTATTTTTTAGCTTGATTTAAACAATTATGAATTTCATAGAAGTCTCTTTGCTGAAGAGTATTTCTCTACTATCCCTGTGCTTTGAATCAAAATAGCTGTTTAGCAGGTTGCCTGATGTTTTTATCATCCAGACTTAAGGTTAATGAAAAACGTTGTGAATTCTGATTAAAACATGTATCCAGTTGATTGATGCATATTTATTCTTCGGTTAAAAAAATGAAATTTGGAAACCTTTGTGAGGAATGTTCATTTTTATTGTTCTGTAAGGCTTGAAAAGGCACAGGAAGAAAACAGAAATGTTGCTGTAGAAAAGCAAAATCTAGAGCGCAAAATGATGGATGAAATCAATTACGCAAAGGAGGAGGCTTGTCGGCTGAGAGAGCTGAGGGAGGGAGCTGAATGTGAATTGAGTAGACGCCAATATGCAGAGCAGGAATTGGAACAGGTATTTACACTTTTTGAAAAGTACTTGTTAGGATATTTGTATTGCCACTCTGAGGAACCAGGTCCTGTTTTTGTGCAGTCTCTTACGTTTAGTTCCATTTTATACTGTTCCTTAGTTAATAAGAGAATCATTTGCTCATATCATTAGCATTGAGCAAACGAAGTCCATATGGTAAAACAACAAAGTAGTAATTACAAGATGAAGTAACCACCATGTTTACTCATTCATGTTTTGAATCTTATCCCGTGTCATGTTGATCATCTTGAGCAAATTTAAGGTATTTATTTAATTTAAATCTGTAATATGTTTGTGTTTCCAGCTGTGACCTAGTAAAATAAAGTATATCTAATGTTGGAATTCTGTGCAAAGATAAAGACTCTCTACTGACCATCCATTTGAAATCTGTTACATGGTTTTAGAACATAATCTGCTAAAAATCCTAAAACCATTTAAAAGATGTCCTTCCCCACATCTGCTTCTTCCATTCAGTTACTCAAGATTGAATGTAGTAGTCAGGCATTGCACAAAGTCCTTTGGAGAAGGGCACTCTGGAAGAATTTAAATTATAGGCAGACGTTTAGTTTCCTATTCCCGTTGTAACAAATTACCACAAACTTAGTGACTTAAACAACACAAATTTATTATCTTACAGTTCTGGAGGTCAGAGTCTAAAATGGGTGCTCAGGGCTGTGATCCTTCTGGAGACTTTAAGGGAGAATCTGTTCCCTTGCCTTTTCTAGCTTACAGAGGCTGCCCACATTTCTTGGCTCATAGCTCCTTCCTCCATCTTCAAAGTGCATAACCTCTGCTTTCATCCCATCTCCTTCTTCTGACTTTGACCCTTTCTTTACAGATAAAGAAATTGGGGAACAAAATGAGGATTTAGAAGACTTGCTCAGAATTAGAAAGTGACTTGGTTTTAAAGCAGGGGCAGAACCCTTGATAGTCAGCCTCCTATTTTGCTTTATGTACTACTGCCTTCTCAACCAGACATTTAATGAGAAATGTCATGTATTATGTGATGAATGAGTTTTAATTTCAATTCATGGGAAAATATGCAGTGTGCATTACTGTTTCCTTCAAGACTGTCATTTTTTGTAAAAGTTGTCTGATTGAATGAATGAAACCATCTCTTTTGTTAACTGTTAACTACTTTTCCTTATCCCAGACATCTGTTTTTTGGCCTTCTTCCCTGTAAGGAGTTTCTTGTTTTAAATTGACTCTTGGACATATTTTGCAGTCATGCCTCATTTACCTGACAGACTTTATCTGTACAGAATGTAGTCGAGAACCAGGGAGTTAACAAAAAAAGGACCAGCCAAAATTAAACTGTGTCTAAGAATTAAGTCTTATGTCCTATACTCCTGGGAGAACTCCCTGCTTCTTCCCACCAAGGCTTCTAGCTTTTGGTTTGTTCTCAGTACTAACAAGCTTGTTAGTTATTTTTCTAAACTTTGTAGATAAGAAAAGCAAATCAGAAAGCAGTTGGAGAAATTCTTCTGTGGAGATATACTGATAGCAATATTTGAAAAGCACTCAAGAATCACATACCTTATACTCTGAGGTTTTTGGCATAGAGGCCTCGCACACCTCAGTAGACCCTAAGGTTACCACGATACCTTGTCAGAGTACAAACTTAATAATCCTAATGAAGTCCTGAGTCAGTTAGACATGGTTTAAAGGAGGGAAATGGATAATGTGTTTTAGAAAGAACTCTCTTCAGCATGACTATAGTAAGAAACACAATTTTCTGAGTGCATATACTGTGTGCTAGAAGTGTATGCTATGCACCCTGCAAATGGTTTACTCATAAATTTTTATCCTCATGGTATACAGAAATTATCCTCGTTTACAGATGAGATGTGTAGAGAGGTTAAATAATTTGTCTTAGGTCACACAGCTATTATGTGACAAAGGCAAGATTCTGTGTGTCTTATTCCAAAGTCCATGTTTTTCCCATACTGCCATTAAAAGTTTTGTTTATAGAAGTAAGTTTAACTGGGAAATTATTTTATATATAACATCACAAAATTCACAATTGTATAATTCAGAGTATTAACTGTGTTTTGTCTGGGAGATAATCAACTTCTCAAAATTAGAAGAAAGGCAGGAAAATCTGGTGCATATTTTGTTCAGATGGTTATTTCCCTGAAACATAGACTATTGGCCAATAATGGTAGCACTTTTATGTTTTGTATGGTTTAAATAGTTTACACATAAATTATTTTGTTTTTAAACAAAGTCTTGAGAATCCTATAGCTGGGACAAGTAATACATGGAACAGTGAGCCTCAGAAGTTAAGGGACTTGCTGAAGGTCACAAAGGTAATAAGTAATAAAGTTGGGTTTAGAAGCCAGGTTTTCAGATATTTCGACTGTTTCTTTCTGTGGCATCATGTTTTTATCTATTGTTACTTTCTTACAAAGACCCACAAATTATGTAAATAATTACCATGATCATATTTAGAAATCCAGCATTTACAAAAGCTCTTAATTGCTCAAGTTTTTTCAGTGTATCCATTCCCTCATAAATAACAATGTAATTCAAACTAAGGATTGGAATTTAGGTCAGGTGGTAAACTTATGAATTATAGAGAAAACATTTAAAATAATCGTCATTATTGGAAGATCAGATTTCCAGTAGTTTGAGATGTTGTTTGACAGTCAATCTAAACATTGTTATGGTTCAGTTTATCTATGTGTGAAATGTATAGATTCTATTTAAATGCGTTTCTTTTGAGTTTTTTTTAGGGTAAATAAATTTATGGCGATAGCATTAAGGAAAATTTTCCTAATTAAAGAGAAAAAAATTGAGTGAAATCTATTCAGGCTTTCTGTATACTTCCTTGGAAATGAAAATTGTACAGAAATTTTAGCTTTAAAAGCTTGTGCTCAAAAGGACGTGCTCTCCTGCAGTTGGTGGTGGTATACAGAACCGTGTGTCACAGGACCCAAGCTCAGATTTCTCCCTTCCTAAGAGATCAGCTGGAATGCCACATAGCTTACCCAGCAGTTTTATTACAGAGTATTGTCCTGAGCACAGTACACACTGAATCGTGTCAGACAAAGATTGTTACTTAGGATTTGTTTTCTGTGAGTGAGTTCCAGCGTACCGTTACTTTTAATATCTCTCTTTTGAATTGTATACATAGTGTTCTATTTTGGATTTTTTTTTTTAACTTTTAGAGTTTTAAAAAATATTTTGTGCATAATTCACATCTTAATTGTCTAGTGCTCTGTAACAAATACCACAAGTGGATGACTTTCACAAACAGAAGTTTATTTTCTCACAGTTTAGGAGGCTAGAAGTCTGAATTCAGGGTGCCAGCTCCAGGGCAAGGCTTTCTGTCTCTGTTGGCTCTGGAGGAAGGTCCTTGTCCTCAATCTTCCCCTGGTCTAGGAGCTTCTCAGCTTAGGGACCCTAGGTCCAAAGGATGCACTCACTCTTGGCCCTTCTTCCCTGGTGGTAGGAGGTCCTTCTCCTCTCTGCTTGATTGTCTCTTCTATATCTCAAAAGAGATTGATTCAAGATACAGCCTTATCCTGTACATTGAGCCCTGCCTCATTAACATCATAGAGGTTAGGATTTATAACACATAGGATAATCACATCAGATCACAAAATGGTGGACAACCATACAACACTAGGAATCATGGTCTAGCTAAGTTTGTACCCATTTTGTGGGAGGTACAATTCAGTCCATAACAATTCTTTTTTTACAGTATTTGACAGCTGTTCTATTTCTTCATCTGAAGTTTGTGTATAGTACTCTTCTTAGTCTATCGTGGTACATAATAAAGTTTATTTAAATAAGTTGGGTTTGTTCAGAACAAACATTCCTCTGCATTTCAGTTTAGGAATGAAGTTTTAGTTACCTTACTTACTTTTCAGGACAATTAATTTGAAATTATGGACCTCTAGAAACAAGATGCTCCCATAGTTCACTCATCACTTTGTCTGAAGGCGTTGAGTGTGTGTATACAATTCCACAAATTCCATCATGTGTCTTTACCCATCTTTAGTTTGAGCTCTTCCTAGTTTTTAACTGAATCATTACTAGAATGGATTTTCTTTTCCTTCTATGTCATTTTCTTAGTGAAGCTTTTATTAAGATTTTTTTTTCTTAGCACTAATTAGCATCTATGCATTTTACTTTTTTTAATCTGACTTATTGTCTGGCTCCCCTAAAGGGCAGCTGGAAGAAATACTATGATGACCTTACACTGAAGGTTATGCATAATCTTTCATAGAAAAATCAAGTAGGCACTTAACTCAGAATCTATTTTCTTGAAATTTAGACATAGTCCACAAATGCTTATTATCTAGTTTCTGGTATATTGGATGCAATGAATTAAATAGAAGAAGTAGTAAAACAGACCATAACAGCAAATATTCTCATAACAGTGAAAATAACTGGCCACAAAGAAGATTTTGTGGAAAACTACCAAAAAGGTATAATTACTTTAAAAAATCAGTGTGTAGTTAAGGAGTTATGGTAAGTTCTGGGAACATTAGAAGAGATAGTAATAGAAAGGTATCCACTCTATTTTTGACATTTCTTCATATCCTACTCCATAAACAAATACATTCATTATAGGAAAAGTGTGATCAGTTTTCTATTGTATATGCCCTGGATTTTTGTCTCTAAATGAGTCTGGCTATTATAAAATATGAAACTAAGTGTTTCAACTTAAAAGTGTATGTGAGTCCCCTTTACCCTCTCAGGTTTCACAACTTTGCATAATGAATTTAAGATGCACTTAAAACTTCAGCTCCAGTTTCAGTGTTAGAAATATATTGTATTTTAACTTTATGGTTTAAAAGATATTTATAAAGAGCATAGTTAAAACTGCCCCTTCTCTTAATTTTAGTATTAAAAAATTATATCTTAATTATTTCTACTTTTTTTTTTACTTCCAGGTTCGCATGGCTCTGAAAAAAGCTGAGAAAGAATTTGAACTCAGAAGTAGCTGGTCTGTTCCAGATGCACTTCAAAAATGGCTTCAGTTAACACATGAAGTGGAAGTACAGTACTACAATATTAAAAGACAGAATGCTGAAATGCAGTTAGCTATTGCTAAGGATGAGGTACTTTGTAATCTATTATATTTCAAAAGTTACTAAATTTGTTTCCTAGGCTGCATTCTAGAGGGATTAATCAACTGGGATACAAAGATCTGAATAAGATTTTTATGATTGTACTTTTTTTTTTCTTAAATTAGTATTGTAGCCATAGGCTGTAAAATGAAATTACTTTATTTAGAGAAATGTGTATTTCAAAATGACCTTAGTGTCATTTAAAAAAATGATTCACTATCATCATTATTGTAAATGTTTTATACAGAGCTTTTCTCCTCTAGGTTGCTGCTTCATATGTGATCCAGGTTAGTAGTTACTAGAAATTAATGTCTGACACTTATTAAATTGTGTGAAATAAGATTAAGTCTTAATCTGATTTCTAGGGGAAAAAAAAAAAAGCTCAGTTCACTTCACTAACACCTCCATTGCAGTAGGATATAGTTCATGTTATTCTGTTAGTTTTAATAATATTCAGGTCTTTCTTAGCCATACAGATAAGAGAAAAATTCTCTAGAACAAAGTTTTGAATTACATTGATTGGCCTAGGAAAGCATGCTTCCCCTCTCTCCCATGTTTTCTTCTTTGAAAAATAGAGCTGTATCTTGGCTAATAATTCTTCACTGGTTTTATGTTTATTAATACATTCAAAACAAAATAAGCTTCATAGTATAAAGGTATTTTTTCCAAACCTAGCCTTTGGATTTATTTTTCTTTTCTTGGGTTTCTAGGCAGAGAAAATTAAAAAGAAGAGAAGCACCGTGTTTGGAACTCTGCATGTCGCACATAGCTCCTCCCTAGATGAGGTGGACCACAAAATTCTGGAAGCAAAGTAAGAGTGTTATTTTAGCTATCTGTTTATTTGCTGTTGTGTTGAAATGAGTAATTTATAGACTATTTGTATATTAATTTGTCATTTAATCGTGTAAAATTACATATTTTAATTCCAAGACTGGGTAATTTCATCTTGAAATTAGAAAATTGCCATGGTGTGTTCATGTAGTTGCTTTTTTTCAGTGCCATATTAAACAGCCTTTGATGCAACAAGTAACTCCTTTATTTGCTTTTCCAGGAAAGCGCTCTCTGAATTGACAACTTGTTTACGAGAACGGCTTTTTCGCTGGCAACAGATTGAGAAGATCTGTGGCTTTCAGATAGCCCATAACTCGGGGCTCCCCAGCCTGACCTCTTCCCTTTATTCTGATCACAGCTGGGTGGTGATGCCCAGAGTCTCCATTCCACCCTATCCAATTGCCGGAGGAGTTGATGACTTAGATGAAGATACACCCCCAATAGTGTCACAGTTTTCCGGTAAGTTGTGAGTTCAGCAAAGAGAGTTGGTACAAGTTTTAAAGTAACTATCATGTCCTTTTATGAGTCATTTACTTTGAAATCTATGATAAAAATCTTGTTCATCTTTCATTCTCTTTTTATTTTTGTTATTATATTTTAAGTGTTTTTGTTGAGAATATTATATGTAATTTTATATATACATACAGATATATGGTTAGTCTGGGTGACGCATTTGGTTAAGTGCTCAACTACTAGCTGAAACGTTGGCGGTTTGAACCCACCCAGAGGCACCTCAGAAGACAGGCCTAATGATCTACTTCGGAAAGGTCACAACTTTGAGAACACTATGGGGCAGTTCTACTCTGCACACATGGGGTCACCGTGAGTTGGAATCAAATCAAATGTGTGTATATATATATATCTATCTATATATATATAGTAGATTTGTTGTTCTTAGTTGCCGTCAAGTCACCCCCAACTTGGCAATCCCATGTATGATAGAATGAGATGTTGCTCAGTCCTGCGCCATCTTCACAATGCTCAAGTCTGTTGATGAAGTACTGGATCATTTGCCTTTAAACAAATGTAAGTAAGCTGTGTTTATGTTTAGAAAAACATATATTTTTTGTTGCTCCTCCCAAACATGATTTTTTAATGTACAGTTTTCATTATACTGCTTTGTTGTGCTCTGTGTTTTGAAGGTTTTTGCATTGTTCAGAGTAAGTTTTAGTAGGAGGTTTAATTTTAGCTTTGACTTTTTGCAAAGTTAAAGAGAAGTTAAATTTCATATGGTGTCTATCTTATATAAAAATCATTGAAAACCTTGTTATCCTTATTATTGTGTGACTGATTAATTTTCCCTTTCTTTGTGACCTTTTTGAGATAATATAGATTGAACAAGATTCCCAAGAGTGGAGATTAGTTGAAAATTTACCTGGCAATTTTCATTTTTGATATAAATCAAATTATTATATATGAGCTTTTACCAGTTTGATTTTTTATATGCAGTTGTTACAGCTTTCATGAAATTATGATTTAGAAAGAGTTCTAATTTTAAAAAACAATTTTATGAAGTTAAATCTTTAACTTGAAAACTTATTACCAGTCACTGATTATATGCTTGTATTCAGGTCTGTGGTTTAAATCTCTGGTTTAATGGCAGAAAGATAATGCAGGCAGATTGAGGAGGCACTAAACTCTGACAAAAGGATGAGGAGTGGGCAAATTGTCAATGCAGCAAGCACAAGAATTGTGTGACCCACAGTCATTTCACTTGTCCCACGCTGAAAGGCAGTGATGATTGCAAAGTTATAGCTAGCTCTTTACTGATTCTGCAGTTTGAATACTGTCAGGTTGTGCTGATTGGGAGCCCTGGTGGCACAGTGAAGAGCTACAGCTGCTAACCAAAAGATCGGCAGTTCGAATCCACCAGCCATTCCTTGGAAACCCTGTGGGGCAGTTCTCCTGTCCGATAGGGTCCCTATGAGTCAGAGTTGACTCTATGGCAACAGGTCTTTTTTTTTGGTGGGGGGTGCTTATTTGAATTATATACCCTAAGCTTGCCAAATGAAACACTGATTGATAAATTCATGCCTTTGTTTGAAAACCATAGGTTTTTAAAGTGCAGTTCCTTTTTAGAATCCATAATGACCCAATATTAAAATTGTGCATAAAGGTGCATTCCCTAAATTAACTAGTTTTTTTTTTTTTCTTTGCCTTTTTTTTTAAAAGCACATTTTTGGAGCAGGATAATCATATGTCCATTAGAAGAAAGCACGGATTTTAACTGTGATAAATAATTACCTTAAGTTCTAAGTGATTGTGTTATACAGAGAAATTTGAAATATAAAAAAGTACAAGAGTTTATGTGAATTTTAATTCGATGTTTTAGTTATGTTGCAGTCAAATTTATTGTCCGAAAAATAACTCACACTAAGATTAAAATTGAAGAGCTCTGTCTCCATCCAGTGGTACCACTGTGTTTTTCTCCTTAGTTATAAAAGCACAATTTCTGGACCTGGTAAGCAAGAAACTCTTGGCAGTAGGGTTAGGATCTAGGGTAGGATGAAGGCTCTTCGTTATATATCCTTTTAAGTTGTTCTAAAATTTTCACCGTGGGTATGTGTAACTTTCATTACTTTGAAATAATAAGGAAATATGCCTGTGGTATGTTAAGAGCAAAGTAAAAGATTATAAAACAATATACAGAATCATATTGTCTACATTTAATTACACGCTGTGTGTGAGTAGAACAGCTGATGCTTATTTTGTTATTACTTTTTCAGCATTTATTAAATACTTTTTTAAAGGAACCCTTGTGGTACAGTGGTTAATCACTCAATTCCTAACCGAAGGGTTGGCGGTTCGAACCCACCAGCTGCTCCACAAGAGAAAGATGTGGTGGCAGTCTGCTCTTGTAAAAGATTACAGCCTAGGAAACCCTATAGGGGCAGTTCTGCTCTCATATAGGATCACTATGAGTCAAAACTGACTTGACAGCAATGGGTAAATATTTTTCTAGTGGGAATGTAGTACCAGTTTATTTAAAGTTTCTTATTAGGTGTACTTAAAATTACTGAAAGTAATAAAGCATTACAGATGCAACTGAAATTGCTGTGTATCATTCCAAAGCATATTGTACTTTAATAGATACATATGTATCCATAAGCAATGCATAGTATTGTGTGTTTAAAATTTTACATAAATGTTATAAAACTGTAGTTATCCTTTTGCCAGTCTTTTCACTCGAGTATGTTCTAAAATTTTTCATATTTATGTATAGATTAATTTCATTCACTTTAACCGTTTAATAGGAGCCAAGCACAGTTTATCTGTTTATTTATTGGTACAAACGGTTAAGCACTCAACTGCTAGCCAAAAAGTTGGCAGTTCAAACCCACCCAGAGGCACGTTAGAAGACAGGCTTGGTGATCAGCTTCTGAAAGGTTACAGCCTTGAAAACCCTGTGGATGTTAATGGGGGAGGAATAACCTGGAAAAGGAGGGTGAAAGTGGTTGCACAACTTGAAGAATATAACCAGTGTCACTGATTTGTACATGTAGAAATTCGTAATTGATGAATTGGTGTATGTTCTGCTGTGTATATTTTCAACAACAACAAAAATACAATGAATTATTTAAAAAAAAAGAAAGAAAGCCCTATGGAGCAGTTCTGCTCTGTACACATGGGATTCTGTGTACATGGGGTTGCCATGAGTCAGAATTGACTTGATGGTAACTAACAGCAGTTGTATTAATTAACTACAGTTTATTTATCCATTCTTCTGCCAGAAGTATAAAATGATCTTTACACTTTTTTGTTCTTACAAACAATACTTCGATGAACATCTCTATCTGTATCTCCTTGTGCATAAATTTAAGAGTTTTTCTGAATGGACAGCTAGAAATGGATTTCTGGGTCTTTGGGAAGGCACTTCTTCAGCTTTGCTAGGCATTGCCAACTTGCTCTTCAAATGGTTGTATCAGTTTACACACTTATTATTTATGAGTGACTGTTTGCTTGCATCCTCACCAAAACTTGGAATGAGCTGATTTATTTGGTGTGCAACTCTAATCAGGTGTGAAATAGTACCTCACTGTTACTGAAAATTTTATTTCCTTGATTACCAATGAAGTTGAGTACCATTTCATCCATTGGCATTGGGTATTCAGATTTCTTCCTCTTTGAATTGCTTGTTCCTGTCATCAAATCCCCCTGAGGTTTTGTTTTTTTTTTTTAACTGATTTTGAAGAGTTCTCTATATTTTCTGGTTGAGGGCTGAAAATATCTTCTCCTGGGCCTTGGCTTTTCTTTTTTATTGTAATAAGGTAGGTTTTTTTTTAATCATATGGGCTTTTCTAAAACATTTTTAATGACAAACTTATCAATTTGATTTGTAATTTTTATGTCCTTTTCAGGAGATGATAGGTTGTTCTACTTGCCCTCCTAAAAGATTTTAAGTTTTGCTTTACTCCCTTAGTTCTGTAATCCACTTGGAAACTATTTTTGTACATAGGATGAAGTAGGAATCTGTGTATCTTGATGTATGAATTAACAGTTGTCCCAGCCTAATTCGTGTCCTGTCCTTGCTGATTTGTCATATCACTTCTGCCCATACGTACACAGATGTTTCCAGCTCTCTATTTTGTTCCATTGTTACACTCTGTTTTAGTTCCTGTAACTTTATAGTAACTATTACTATTTGATAGGGTAAATCTTTATTAGTCAAATTCAGAATTGCTCCTCTTGGCCCATTACTCTTATGAACTTTAGGATCAGCTTATGAATTTCCATAAAATGTTCCATTGAGATTTTTATTGGAATTTCTTTGAATTTATTGATTTATTTGGCGAGAACTTATATTCATGAATTCCACTTACTGAGATCTTCTTTTATATCTTTAAATAAAATTGTATAATTTTCTCAGTACGGGCTTTCCATGTCCTTTTTTAAAAAGGGTAACCAATTTCTAGGTACCTTACAGCTTTTTCCTTGGGTGGGGGGCATTTGTAAATGGTACCTTTCTTTAAAAAGTAAACTTCAAATTGCTTGTTGTTGGCTGTATGTTATTGTTGTTAGGTCCCGTCGAGTCAGTTCCAACCAATAGCGACCCTTTGTATGACAGAACAAAACACTGCCCAGTCCTGTGCCATCCTCACAATCTGTTGTTATACTTGAGCCTATCATTGCAGCCACTGTGGCAGTCCATCTCGTTGAAGGTCTTCCTCTCTTTCACTGACCCTCCACTTTACCAATCATGATGTCCTTCTCCAGGGACTGGTCCCTCCTAATAACATGTCCAGAATACGTGAGACAAAGTCTCAGCATCCTCGCTTCTAAGGAGCATTTTGGCTGTACTTCTTCCAAGATAGTTGTTTGTTCTTCTGGCAGTCCACAGTATATTCAGTATTCTCAGCCAACACCATAATTCAAAGTTATCAGTTCTTCAGTCATCTGTATTCGTTGTCCAGTTTTTGCATGCATATGAGGCAATTGAAAATACCGTGGCTTGGGTCAGG